TGTACATATCATAGTGAACTCAAGGTTACCATAAAATATTTGAGCTCTCTTATACCTTTTTACCACTCTTTGCTAGCTCAAATAGCTGTTCTCTCATTTTGAGACAGTTCCCTGCCTTGAACCAAACCTTCCTTGAAGCCTAAAGCACTTTAGTGAGAGATGATGTGAGACCTTTTTCTGAATAAACTTGACAGAAAGTGTTGGGTTTAGGGCGACAAGAGTATAGTTTCATGTAGATCTAGCTCTGCATCATGAGTCTAGAGTAGGCTAGGAAGGGATCTTGGGAAACACTGAGTGAAAAAGAGAGAGTTTGAGATGAGAACCAGGGGATGGAAAAGAAAAGAGATCGGTTTGGGGTCTGTTGTTTAAAGAAAGAAAGCTCTTGTGTTTTGAAAAGTAAAGTCTAGCCTCTAAGTGAAAAGAAAAGAAGCGAAAAAGGCTCAAGTGTTTAAAGAGAAAAGAAAAGAGGCTAGACAATGCTAAGTGAGAAGGACCCATAAGCTTTCTGTTAAAGTTTATTCCTTCTTGAGTGATCCCTTGAGCAGCATTGAACCCATAAGCTTTGAATGAGATCATCTTTGTCTCATAACCTTATCCCTCTTCCAAATGAGTTCACATGATTTGCATGAGCATGATCCACATGATACTTAAATGAATGTCAAAGGGCTGGAGTTAGGAATTCTTGTGAACGTTGACACTTGAGTTTGGTTCACATGGTGATGAGCATGGCTAGTTTTTATAAGTACACCAGTTTGCATTGCAATTTAGAATTAGTAGCTAGGACCATGAGTTGAACTCTTTTGATGATTATCCTCTCTCTTTAAGAAATGTGAACTCCCGAGCATACAACCTCTCTCTCTCTCATTTGTTCTTTGTGCTTGAAGACAAGCAAAGGATAAGTGTGGGGGAGTTGATATATTCATAAATTGCATTATTTAGTGTACATATTTAAGTCCAAATCATGTCTCATTTGCATACATTTTAGGTCTTTAGGCATTGTTTTAGGACTTTAGAGATTGCATTAGGTCCAAAAGAGTTTTGCATGGTTTGGAATGTTAAACACGTGCTTATGGAGCTTATTTGAAGTTGAGAATGTGATTCAGATGAAGAAATGTAGTCAAAATGATCAAAAATAGTGTAGAGGAGCAATTTTGAGTTTCTCGGCAAAATGCAGTACTGATAGTCGAAGATTCTCGGCTAAAATCCATCCTGCAGGTAGATATCTCGGCCAAATCACGGACTGGCTGTTCAAGTTTCTCGGCCAAAAATTTCAGGTGCAGATACATCTCCGAAATCACGTTACCGGAAGGTCTTGCCGACCGATTCAGCCTTTGGGGTCTTCAGAAAAGATCAAGATAATTGAGTCTAGATTTCATAACAGTTAGAATCTATGAATTTGGAGCCGCGAACTGAAAGATACGGCCACCGGAAGACAGACCTGTCTCGCATCCATTCCGGAGCAATCCGATACCTCTGAAATATTGCTTGTCCGGGAGTTTTAACGTCTGATTCAGCTTACAGGGTCTTCAGAAAATTTCGAGATGATCAGGTCACGGATCCTGAACAGGTAGAATCATTGGATTTGGAGTCGTGAGTTGATAGTTAAGCTCACCGGAAGACACACCTGTCTCGCTACAGTTTCAAGACCGATCCAATGAGTCACAAAGATTGCGTGGGACGATGCCTTTCCAGTCCGATTCAGTTGCCGGGGCCTTCATCAAAATTTAATTTCTTTGAGTGATCTTTCCAGAACATCTGCGATTATCCATTTTGGAGATATGTGCTGAAATATACCGTCTCCGGAGTAAACACTGGTCCAAGAGCTTCTTTTTGATCGTTTCAATGCACCTCAGAGATGAGCCGTCCGGGGAACCTTCCACTTCCCAAGCGCTAAAGTTTTATTCACCAACGTTCGCGATATCTGGGTGCTCTATCCACTGAAGTTTGAATCAAGCCATTTGAATAAATATCCTGGAAGTTACGCTCCCCCGAATGCGAAATGGTCCGAGGAGACTTGGATTTTGCGAGATGGTTCTGCAACTTAGTTAACTCGCAGCACTTAGAGATTGAATTCTGGAAATGAGCTGCGAGTGGAGATATGTGGTAAGGCAACTCTGAGCATGGGTAAAGATTTCCGAGCTGAGAATATGCTAAGACCACAAGCTGTGCGACTTGGGCATGCGGGTTGGCCGAGATGAAACCAAGTAGCACATGTGTTCGCGGATCAGACCGAGTTGGGCCTGCGACTTGGAAGTAAAGGAGACCTACTCGCATACATGCTTCAAGACCTGTGCTATATGGTGTGCGAGTTAGAGAGCAAAAGAACCTGAACCGCACATATGTTCGCGCTTTAGACCGAGAAGGAAATGCGGCTTAAGCTACAAGGTTTTAACTCGCAAGATCTTGCTCCCAGACTTGTGCGAGTTGAGCCTGCGACTTGGGACTGAAGGAGACCAAATCGCACACATATCTTCTCCAGAATGCATCTTGGTTGTGCGAGTTGAAGAGGAGAAGACCTGAGCAGCACAGATATTCGCAGAACAGACCGAGATAAGCATGCAGCTGGAGCTGAAAAAGTTAAGGCGCACAAGACTAGTTTCATGGCTGTGCGACTCAGGCCTGCGAGATGGGAACCACTTGACCAAGTCGCACACTGCCCATTTGAAGCCGGGTCAGTACCCAGTTTGTCTTGGGCTGACCCGGCCCAAAACCCTTGCTATATATAGTTTTTTGGGAAAAAACCTAGAACACCTTCCATTCTCTCTTAGTTTTCTTTCCTTTTCAGTGTAAAAACGAGTTTGATCAAGAGATATCTGAGGGATTTAATCATCTTAAAGCTGTTTCTCATCATCTCATCTTCTTATCCTTGCTTATAATCATGTTTAACACCATCTCTTGCAAAAGATTAGGTATGTTAAGATGATTAGTGAGTAATCTTCTTTTAAGCTTCTAGGTGTGTAGATTTGGGTGCTTAGATGTAGATTTATGATTGTTTAAGATTAGATTCTCTTCTCCTTTCCTTAGTTAGCTGATCCTAATGCTAGATCCTTGCACATCACTTGGGTCTAGAATCTGGGTCTTTCATGCACCAAAAGTGTTTGATGAAATGCCTGAATGAAAGCTAACTAAGGCTTTATGCATTAATACCATGATGATGTTTGTTAATTGCATCAATGACATATTATAGTTGATTCTTAATGCTTACTAGTTCATATTTCACAAATGGGAATTTGTTTTGAAAGTGGATTAGTATAGAGATTAATACCTTCATGAGAGGATTAGTCTAGCTTTAAACTCTAAGTTGATTGGATTAGAGATCATGTGATTGCTTGTTATGTCTTTCTGTGTAAGATTCAGTTTTTCTTAGCTCTTATTTTGATGCACAAAGAGGTTGTCTGGTCATTTTAGACTTGGAACCTTATGCTTGTTGATTGCTTATTCATCTAATGGGAATTAGTCTTGATTTGGCAATTAACAAAAGCATTTCTGTCATGAGAATGAATTAATCTGATTTGGAAGTCTAGACTTAAGAATTTCAAGTGTTGCATTATTTTCTTAGCATCATGAATTCAGCATTTAAAGCACCCTGATCAATGATCACATCTAGAGGTTTAGCTTTCTCTTATTTTGATTTTGAGTCTTTTCTTGTTTGTCTTGTTTGCTTGTTTAATTCTTAATTACTGCTTGTTCTTGTTTGTTTTATGTTTTCAGATCACTTAATCACCAACATGTTTCTTTAGACTTGGATTAAGATAGTTCCATATAGTTTTAGTGCCTAGATAATCTCCATTTGGATTGACCCTCAAGTGCTACAACACAATAGGTTAATTGACCTTAGTAGGCTAAAAACCTACTATCACTTTCTCGTGGATATGTTTCACTAATTCAGCTCTCTTATGTCCATCAAGGCTAGATCTTTCACTCAAAGGAATAGGGGTTAGATCCAGAGGAGTTATAGGATTAAAGCCATAAACAATCTCAAATGGGGAAAACTTAGAAGCTGTATGCATAGAGTGATTATATGCGAATTCAACATGAGGCAAACATTCTTCCCATGACTTAATATTCTTCCTAACTAATGCACGCAGGAAAATAGACAGAGTTCTATTGAATACTTCAGTTTGTCCATTAGTTTGTGGATGACATGTAGTAGAGAACAGAAGTTTAGTTCCTGGCTTAGACCATAATGTTTTCCAAAAATAACTAAGAAACTTAGTATCACGGTCAGAAATAATGGTCCTAGGCATGCCATGTAAACGAATTACTTCTTTGAAGAACAGTAGCTACATGACATGCATCATCTGTTTTGTTACATGCAATGAAATGAGCCATTTTTGAAAATCTATCCACTACAACGAATATGGAATTTTTTCCTGTTTTAGTCCTAGGTAAACCAAGCACGCAGTACATAGAATTGTCAACCCAAGGATGAGAAGGAATAGGTAAGGGAGAGTACAAACCGTGAGGCTTTACCTTAGACTTAGCCTGTTTACAAGTTGCACATATCTCGCAGATTCTCTCCACATCTCTCTTCATGTGTGGCCAGTAAAAATGATCCTGCATTACTTTCAAAGTCTTAGTAATACCAAAGTGACCCATAAGAACCTCCTTCGTATGTTTCCCCTGACTAAAAGATCTCGAATAAAACAATTAGGGATGCATAAACAGTTCTCATAGAAAAGAAAAAAATCTTGCCTAAAGTAATGGTCTTTAGCAAACTTTTCACAAGATTGATATTTCTCTCCAAAGTCAGAATCTGATGCATACATGTGTTTGAGTTGTTCAAATCCTATCAGCTTAGCATCAAGAGTAGAGATCAAGGCATACCTTCGGGACAATGCATCGGCAACTACATTTTCTTTACCTTGTTTGTACTTGATCACATACGGAAATGTTTCTATGAATTCCACCCACCTTGCGTGTCTCTTGTTGATTTTTTGTTGCCTTTTTAAATGCTTAAGAGACTCATGATCCATGTGTATGACGAACTCTTTGGGCCATTAATAGTGTTGCCACATCTGTAGGGCTCGAACCAGGGCATAGAGCTCCTTTTCATATGTGGGGTAATTCAATGTAGCGCCTCCAAGCTTCTCACTAAAGAATGCAATAGGGTTTTGATCCTTCATTAAAACAGCACCAATACCTATTCCAGAGGCATCACATTCGATTTCGAACGTCTTAAGGAAATCAGGAAGAACTAAGAGATAAGCTATAGTAAGCTTATCCTTTAAGGCCTGGAACGCCTCCTCTTGTGCTTGTCTCCATTTGCAACCGACTTCTTTCTTAATGACTTCAGTAAGTGGAGCGACAATAGTGATAAATTCCTTCATAAATCTTCTATAAAATACGACCAAACTGTGAAAACTCCTCACCAAACTCACGGTTTTAGGACTTGGCTACTCTTTGATTGCCTTCACTTTCTCTTCATCGACTTTGATTCCATCTGCGCTTACAACAAAGCCTAAAAACACCAGGTTATCTGTACAGAATGTGCATATCTTAAGATTGGCATACAGTTTCTCCTTCCTAAGCACATCTAAGACAGATTTTAAATGCAGAATGTGATCGCTTAGACTCTTACTATAGACCAAGATGTGATCAAAATAAACGACTACGAATACACCTATAAACACCCTAAGAACATGATTCATTAATTTCATAAAAGTGCTAGGTGCATTAGTGAAGCCAAAAGGCATGATTAACCATTCGTATAGGCCATGTTTGGTTTTAAAAGCGGTTTCTACTCATCTCTTTCTTTCATCCTAATTTGATGATACCCACTCTTAAGATCTATTTTAGAGAAGATGCTAGACCCATGCACTTCATCTAACATTTCATCTAATCCTAGGAATTGGATGCCTATACTTAACCGTTATGTTGTTAATTGCCCGATAATCAACACACATGCGACAGCTTCCATCCTTTTTTAGCACAAGTAACACTGGCACGGCACAAGGGCTCATTCTCTCTCTGATATGGCTTTTTTCCATGAGCTCGTTCACCTGTCTCTGCAGCTTTTTAGTTTTCACAGGGTTGGTTCTATAAGCAGGTCGGTTTGGCAAAGAGGACCCCAGAATAAAATCTATCTGATGCTCAATACCTCTGATCGGTGGCAACTCCTTGGGATTATCCTCAGGGAACACGTCCTTGTAAACCTGCAAAAAATTAGTCATTTCACCCGGTAGCACCGGTGTAATGTTAGTAATACTAGCAATTGATTCTTTAAAAACGAACAATAAGACTGGTTGCTTGGATATCAAGGCTCTCGCAACATCACCAGCTTTTAAGAAGAAATAGGATGGTTTAGTCATGGGCTTCTCCTTCTGTTTGAGTTGGAGTTGATCCTAGTAAACTTCTTGAGGTGTTAAAGGGATCAGAGTAGTTTTCCTGCCATTAAAACCAAAAGAGTGTTTATTAGTAAACCCATCATGTATTACCCTTCTATCACACTGCCATGGTCGTCCAAGAAGGATATGTCCAGCCTCCATTGGCAACACGTCACACAGTATTTCATCTTCATATCGGCCAATGGTTATAGGGACTGAGACTTGGCTGTTAACTTTCAATTCACCACTCTCATTAAGCCATTGAAGCTTATAAGGCTCCGGGTGCTTCATGACATTCATTCCCAACTTCTTTACCATAGATTCACTCGCAACATTAGTACAGCTGCCCCCATCAATGATAAGACTACACACTTTGCCTTGGACAAGACACCGGGTGTGGAACAGATTCTTTCTTTGTTCCTGCTCTTCAGTCTTTGATTGAACACTTAGAGACCTTTTGGCAACTAGCAACGATTCTTGAGCCAGCATCTCCTCATATTCGGTCATGGGTTCAGATTCTGATCCTTCCTCTTCAAATTCAATATCTCCATTTTCCCATAGCACAATGACTATTTTGTTGGAGCATTCATTGGCATAATGACCTCGGCCTTGAAACTTGAAGCACTTGACGTCTCTGGCACGGCTTGAAGATGCTTTGGTTTTGCCTTTGATGTCTGATTGAGACACATAAGGTTTTGTCTCAGGTCTCGGTATTGCAAGCTGCTTTCCTTCTCTAAGATACGAGTTTGGCTTTTCCTCCTTCTGATAACTCGGTCAAGAAGTTGTAGAAACAGCTCCATAACTTGGTTTTGTCACAGATTTCCTCTTGAGTTGCTGTTCGATAAGAATTGCCTTATGCAACATTTCCTCAATCTCCACATAATGCTGCATCTCAAGTCGGTCTTGTATATCTCAGTTTATCCCTCCTAAAAGCCTTGACATGGTGGCTTCTCTGTCTTCAGTTTATCCATCAGGGTTTCCATCTCTTGGTAATACTCTTCAACTGATTGATTGCCTTGAGTAAGCCGTCAGATCTTTTGCAACTTCCTATGATAATGACTCGGCACAAATCTCTTCCTCATAATAGTTTTCATCTCTTGCCAACTCTCCACAGGGTATTCTCCATTTCTTCTTCTAGAAGTAACCAATTGATCCCACCAGCTTAAGGCATAGTCATAGAACTCAGTAGATGTGACCCTTACTCCATTGATCTCGGTGTAATGGTGGCGGTTAAAGACCAATTCGATCTTCTTCTCCCATTCCAGATAAGCATATCCATGGAACGAAGGGATTCGCAATTTGATTCGTCCTAAACTGTCTTGAAAAGGTATGGGCTCTTCTCTGACTCTTCTTTGGCGTTGATGATGGCTTCTGAAAGAACCACTATCTCGGTTGGGGATGTTAGCAGCCGCATCATCTCTCGATGGTCTAAGTTGTTCTCTGGTTCTCTCAGGGGATACATGGTTTCTTCTCCTTGTTTCTCTATTGGTTTTTGCGTCTGATTGTTGATACATCTCTTGTTTATACATCTCGAACTGAGCAGCCATCAGTTCTTTCATCTTTGCGGTCATGGCCTCCATCAGAAGCTTGTTGTCTTGCTGTTATGGTCTCTTCTTCTTCTGTCATGATTTCCTGAAATCAAACACAAGCAAATATCACTAGCGATCGTTTCTGTTCGATGATGACTATTTGTGATCCACACGGAATCCTAATAGACACTTTAAGTATTTAGAGAACAGATCGGCAATGGAAGTTGAAAAGACAAATCAAAACTGATGTGAATATGAAGTTTTTTTGCACAGAACAGTTCGATCTATATGTCTTGTGATGTAAACAAGAGATTTCTCAATGGATCTAACACAAGTGATCATAAAACGCGGTTGTAGTGAAGGTTATAGTTTTCTTTTATTCGATATGATGATTAAAACAGAAAGAAAACTCAAATTTGAATCGACACAACCTGATACTCGACGATCCAGTGATTAGAATGGTGCTCTAATACCACTTGATGTGATCCTGGATAGGATCTACCCTTGATCGACACTCTAATGACTGGACACAAAAGGGAATCAATTCTGCGACTCTTGTGTGTGTCCATTCGCTTCCCCAACCCTTGATTCAAACTGATTATCATAAGTGATATGACACACACAGAATTGATTCAAGTTGTTTGATGGATATACCACACCATAAAACGTGATATTAGTCTTTGAAAAAGAGTTTGAGAATAAAATATAAGATGGTCTGATATAAAGGGTTACAAGAGAATATAAAGAAGAAAGAAACAAGAAATGAGTTTGGCAAACATTAAACACATCTCGGAAATAAACAAAGCACAAGCTGGCAAGTTTGAGTTTGATTTAGACGCTCTTCTTGTTCGGCACAGTTTGGGTTTAAGGCTTTGTGGACTTAGGCGAATTAGAGATCCATTCTTGCCTCATTAAAAACCTATCTCAAGAAAACCCATTGGGAAAAAACTTGAGATAAGGAAAAAGAGTACAAGCCTGGATCTCAAGCCCACTTAGCCGTCTTGGACTTGGATCACAATCAGTGTGCTTGTGATTATCTCCTTTCCCTCTTGAATCGGATCAAGACCTTTGATGATAGCTCTAATAGTCTGCTTGAGTTTCCTTGCCTTTGATCGGGTTATTGGGCCGCTTGGAACGCTTAAGGGATCTTCTTGATCAGCTACAGCTTCTTGTTCCTCGGCTACTTGCTCTTCATCTTCTATTTCCAACTCTAAGTCCTTATTTCTTTCCAGAATCACATCACTAAAGAACGAAAAAAAAAACTGAAAGAATTTGACATTAGGAGGGGGAGACACATTTCTCCTTAAACAAGTTAAGGGTCAACCAAGATGGGATAATTTAGGTGTCTACTCATCTCATGATGTCACTTTTGAATTGACGGTTATAGAACTATAGAAAACCCTAGCACTAGTTTTTTCTAAACAAGTCCTTCTACTAATAATTCTGTCTTTTTTTCCTTTAATTTCTACAGTTAATATATAATACAAGAGGTGTGACTTTTGGCTTTCCATTTATGTGATAGCCACAGTTCGGACTGGACATTCGGGTATTCAGTTCGGTTCTAGATAGGAACAGATTAGTTCCAGGTATTTCGAGTAAAGGGTATATTACCCATATAGGTACTGAAATGTTTTCGGTTTGGTACCATTTGGTTTTGGGTCGGTTCAGATATTTAAGAACCGATAAATACCGGAAATATTTTGGATCTTAATTGTTTCAGATATTTATTATACCCAAATACCCGAAATAGACACGAATACCCGAAATAAACCTGAATATCTGAACCAAAACCTACAAAAATATCTGAAAATCTAAAAAATATATCCAAAATTCTGAAATAGGCCTGAAAGCTCGAAACGAAAGAAAATATATATGAAATACCAAAAATATATTTGAAACTCTAAAATATATTTAAATTTTTTATTAAATATATAATTAAATTTTGGGTAATTCGGGTATCCTATCGATTCGGTTTCTGTTTACCTGATATCCACTGGTATCAATGAGGAGTAATTATCGGATATTTTTATAGGTTTTGGTTCGGATTCGATATCTCTATTCGGTTTGGTTCTGGTTCGAATATTCAGGTTCAGATTTTTTGTCCATCCACAGTTTCCAAATTTGCATGATGTATATATATTTTTCTCTAACACTGTATCCTATCATATCTTAGTTAGATGTCTTAGCTGTTATAGCAGGAGTAGGGTCTTTAGGGTTATAGTTAGATTATCATTATTTGCATAGTTGCGTGTATAGTGTGTTTTGTTATTCTACCCATTTCGACATCTATATACATAGACTCCAATTTCTCTTAAAATTATAGATAATACAAAAAAATTAAAAATTATATATTGTTATTGATTTGTTTTGCCGGCTAAATACATTGGCTACATAAATGGTATTCAAAGCTCAACACCCATACAATTTTTTTTAATGCTAAAAGGCTAATCACAAACTAAGATAAACGATATAATATGTGTTCTAAGGGTACATCTTCGATCTCACCACATGTTCTTTCTTAGGTTGCAGAAGATGACCATTGCCCGAAATCACCGCCAGTCATGAGACTCCAGCACGTTGAAGCTGATGAACTCGAATGGAGATTCAACCAGATCTGATCCATAAACTTCAAAAACTAGATGTTTGCTCATTCATCAAGGTTCACATAAGATGACTGAGTAAACTAACCTTCTAAACATCAAGAATTGACCCATGAAATATCTCTGAATATCTAGAAAACTTATAATTCATAAGAATACGTTCGAAGAAAGCTCTAATCATGTTTTACATGCGAACAAACACCAAAGATTGAAACTTTAAAGTGTAACTTTGCTGTAGCCTACTTAAAAGACCCTTTAAAGTGTAGCAAATATTTACTCCCTCCTAGAAGAAAGATAGAGCACAACGATGAATAGAAAGCCATTAAACAGGTAAAGGAATTAACTTTTCTAAAATTCAAAAGGCTTTGAAATCAAGCAGGAAAAGAGAGAAGAAAACACTAAAGAAATACTAAACAAAATCCC